CCCTTAGCAGGATGCAGCGCACCCTTCATGCGACTCTCCGAACATCTCACGGCGCTTCGCGCTTGGTGAAGTGAGAGCCTGGTCCGGTGAGAACCCGGCGTGCTCCGTCCCAGCTTTGTAGGGATGCGAGGTCAATGGTCTAACGACTACGGCATGCACGACTATAAGTACACGACCCCCCCCCTTACTACGATCCCTGCCACGACGACCACGGCAACAGTATCGCAGCGAGGTTCTGCGACGAAAGTTACAATATTTCAGTGTTCCGGCCCCTTGTGTCCGGGGAGGGCGGCCGGTACGGGGCTTCCCCTCTAGGTATTTGCGCATTTCGAGGCACGGTCTTCTCAATTCCAGTATTGACTTCAGTCAATACCGCCAACCGTGTGTGTTTGTGCTGTTTTATTGTAGGCTATTCTTACGTACGTGCTCAGCCAGCGGCGGTGTTGGCCGCCATTCGGCGTCGGCCCTTGTACGATATTTGTTTCGCGCATCTGATACGTCGGTACATTTCACTGCTGAGATTTTGGTATTCCTTTCTTTTTTCGAAACCAGCCCTTCTCCGTTTGCTGAACCGCCCTCTGGTGGAAATGAAGGCATTGTAATTCTTGCTGTGTGTACAAGTGCCTTTGAAGTGATGGCGCTGCTGTTCGCCGCAGACCCCCATGTGTGGTGTTACCAGTAAAACGAGAAGCGCGTTATGTTCAAGCTGCAACTCTCACGTGGACGACGTCCTCTTCTTTTGGCACGCCCTGGTCCTTCTGCTACGTTTTTGCATCGACATGTTCACGAACGCTCATCGCCCCAAGGGATTGATTGCTGCTCGTGCACGTCTTCTACTGCTGTGTCCGCGTTAAAATACATCATGTTCACGGCCGCCCTTTGTTTCCACTCGTCTCGTTGTGTTTGCATCAAAGAACACCTTATCGAAAACGATGCCTTCTGCCAGATACGTTCGAACAAGCTTATCTACGGACGCCCACCTCTCGCTTCCGCCCCCGTCTTCTTCTGCGTTTGCATGACGCAACACACGCACACGCACACACCACCCCTACCGCACACCAGGGGATTGCTGCGCGTGCACTTGTGGGATGGACGCGGAGGTGGACCACGAGTGCGGGCTGCTAAACGACGGTTACGACTGCCGAGACCCGGACGTGCCCGAGGACTGCAACCTGGCCAATTTCGCGCAGTGTGAGGGGATGAACGGGTACGACTGGCAGGACGGGTACTGCGACGACGACCTCAACACCGCCGAGTGCGGCTACGATGGGGGTGAGAATGAGAGTGTTTCCGTTCCATCACCAGCAGGGTTTGTTGTTTTCTGGTACAACGGTTGATGGTGTTTCCGTTCCATCACCAGCAGGGTTTGTTGTTTTCTGGTACAACGGTTGATGGTGTTTCCGTTCCATCACCAGCAGGGTTTGTTGTTTTCTGGTACAACGGTTAATGGTGTTTCCGTTCCATCACCAGCAGGGTTTGTTGTGTTCTGGTACAACGGTTAATGCTTTTTTTTCTTGGTGCAGTTAAGCACGGGAATCGACCGCGTTAAGCGTTTGATCAGTGTGGAGGCACTGGGTAGCGAGATCGGAATGGTGTTAACATGTGAAGCAGTACTTGTGGGATGCGAACGCCTGCGTATGTCCAGCACTCGTATGTGTCGACGTTAGTTGTAAAGTGTGGTGAAAACAACAAGGTCTCTGTTAACATTTTTACTTCTAGATGCTTTTATTGTTTCAAGTACTCTAGCTTAAAATTTTCTAGCTGATCCCAGAAGGGAGGGCGGTGTGACTGGTCGTTCGTTTCTTCGGCAACGGGACACGCTGGCCTTTCTCCTTCTTTTTTTTTCGCGATGGCGGACAACCCGGTTTTCAGGTTGAGCGTTGTGGAGGGGAGCAGGGAGCATCAACCAGTGGGTCATTTCTTGATGAAGCCGCCGTGTGTTTGGGACGTTCGTTCATCGACACATCGATGCACACACCCCGCTGATCTTGACCGTCTCGTTTGCGCGCGCGCGTGTCGTGCCCTTGTTCAATTCTTCCTCCGACTAATAATAAATAAAAACGTGGTCCGCAGGCGACTGCTGCCGCTGCACTTGTCGAGACTACGATTCGTGGGGGTACTACAGCAGCTGCGGCTACTACGGGTACGACTGCTTGGACCCGGAGGCCCCCAGCAGTTGCAGCACGGACAGCCCGACGCCTAGCCCTGCCGCGGGGACCGACTGGCCGGAATGCGAGGGCTACCTCTTTGAGATTGGAGACGGGTGCGTGACGAGACTCCTACTGCAGTAGACTATCCCCGGGAAAGTTGAAAAGCAGCAGTTTGTGGTTGACACGCGCGCGATCCACGCCGTTGCGCGAGGGTGGCGTGTGAAACGAGAGGTGCAGCCGCAAGGCGAGACTGGTCCCTGCCTCAGTGCATGCCCCCCCGCCCCCGCCCCCCGCCGAAAAAAGCCTGCTGCCCAAGGTGGCGGGTGATTGTCGCTGTTGGGGGTTGTTCGAACGGTGCAGCCGATCGTTTTTTTTTTGGAGTTTCGACCTCCAGCTAATGCGCGTTGTGATTTCACCGCGACAGGCACTGCGACTACTACAACAACAATGAGGAATGCGATTGGGACGGGGGCGACTGCTGCGCCTGCACGTGTGTATCTGGTGAGCTTGACCTTGGGGCGCGAGTGCATAAAAGTTGCGGCACGGGTGTACCACAGTTTGAGTTGACGTTGACGCCTCCGTCGAAAAGGGAACCCCCCCCCCCCCCCCCCC